TCTCTCAAATTGTGTGTGTAGGGAATGTGTTGTTATATATGGGATTCAAACTTATGCTAATAAAACATATGGAAATTCATACTAAATCCTTAATCACCTTGTTCCTACACATGGCATCGGAATAGATGAGAGTCAGATTTTGTTTTCTTTATCCTTGTTAAAGCTAGCAAGGTGGACTAAGGTTTCAATTTAAAATGACGAAGGTTTATATTTTTAAAATTTGTTACCATCCTAATTAAGTTTTAATTGCTATTAGAATATTTTTTTGGAAAAAAAATGTAACAAAACCACTCATTTCACGTTATTCTTGTACAGGATATAATAAATGAAATATGGAGTAAAACAAAACATATGGTTATGCTGTTATTCAATAATTAAAATGTTTTAAATAATTTTTATTACTCTCGCGTGTAGTGGAATATATCTTTTAATGTTTATATTTTTGTATTTTATTTTTAAAAGAGACGTTTATTCTTCAAATTATATTTATACATTTTGAACACTTACTAACTTAAATATTAATGTACTTTGTATAACTACTAATTCAAAGATAAAAACCGAAAACTTTGAACGAGAATAACTAATCTGAAAATCACATACTTTGAAAGAGTATTTTTTTTCCAGTAATTACAGATCCTATTTTAAAATCGTAGTCGTTATTTGTGACAAGATCAAGTTGGAGAGGGTGTTGTTGTTGCTCGGGGGACTACTGGAGTAGGATGCATACGGGCAGAGTGCCTATAGTGCGCATAGTGACCTAAATCAGCATCACAACTTGGGTGAAAATTAGTAAAAAGAAATTTAAAAAAAAAAAAAAGTATGTTCAACAACATCCATGCCAACACATTTAGTATGTGGTTGAATTTTTTTAAAAAATAAGTTTAAAATGAATTAGTTTTGAACTATAATTTTTCTTATAAATCACATTTTTTAAGTTTAATTATAATTTTTAGTTTTTACCACTTATATGTAAAATTTTGTCATAAAATTTTCAAAATTTTATACATTTTTATTTTATTATTTAATTTTTTGATATTATTAATTAATCGCTGAAATAATATATTAATTATTAACACACATGTGTTAATAATTATTGATATAATATGTCAATTATTAACCAAAAATTAGTAACATAATACAAATATATAATGATGTGAAATAATATCTCATATCAATATTTAATATATGTGAATAGTCAACAATCACATCAACAATTAATAAATTTCATTAACAATTTATTAATGATGTCAAATTAGTTAATAATATAATAAAATATATAAAAATTTTAAAATTAGGTTAGAAAATGTATACTTTGAAATTTAATAACAAAGTTTAAAAAAAAATATAAATATAAATAATAAAAAATGTAATTAAATTTTTTATATTAGAAAGAATGATATTGTAAGCGAACATAATTACTAAAAAAGATGATGGAGTATTGATTTGAGAATATAGATATATAGAATAAAAAAAGAAAAGGGTGACGTAATGGGAGAAGAGAAATTTGGCAAGCGGCGGAGAAAGGTGCCCCTCGTACTTAGAGCCTTAGAGGAGTAGAGGACCACCAATACCAATACCAATACCAATACCAATACCAATATCAACCAGCTTTTTAACAGACAAATATTTAAAGCTGTGGTGGGGTGCCCTACCCACCTTCACTCTCCACTCTCCACTCTCTTCTCTCGCGCGTTTCTTTCCATTTCCCTCTTAATAATTTCATCTAATTACCATATAATTTCATCTACATCTTAATTCTCATATAAATAATTTTTTCATTTTAATCTTTATGTCTTTATGTTGTGTGGCAACATTTAAAAAACACCAACAACAAAGACTAAAATGTAAAATTTTAATATATAAAGACTCAAAGTTGACATAAGTATAAAAGCTAAATAATTAATTAAAAAATTAAATATATTTTTAGTTTGAGAACTTATGTCAATTTTTATTTTTATTTTATGAATAAATTTTACTTAATTTTAGTCTCTGAAATTTTTTTGATAAAAAAAAATTGATCCGAAAATCCAAATTATTAAAAGAAAAAAATTAAAGTCTAAAAGTGAAAATAAAAATAAAATATAACTAAAATTAGTAAACATTGGTTACGATTGCGCAGTACACATGCATGCTTGATTCCAAATCTACCTAGTTGCATTGTTTTTCGTGCATGTTAAAATAGAAATCACCAAAAAGACAACAAAAAAAAAATCTGTCTTTTGAACACGAAAATTTAGAACATTAACATTGACTTGATGCAAAACACAGTTGGACTTGGAGGTGCTTCCGATTGGAATTTGGAAATGAGGAAATGCAAATTTAGAAGTTGCCAATAATAATGGCCACCAAAATGTAAAATGAACAAACACTAAATATGCCTTATATATGATTCTTATATATACCACGTATAACAACATTTTAATTGTTCTTTACAAATCTATTTCTTAGAATCGTTTGGATTAGATAAAGGTAACCTACACTGCAAATGGGAATTAGTAATAATGTTCACTAAACTCTTGATGCAGTTAAGAAGAAAAAGAGCATTTCTTCGTATCTGCATAATCATGATTGATTAATAATTGTACTTATAGCATTAATTGACACTTACATTTAGTACTAGTACATGCGAAAGCAGATGCGCGTGGAGGGACATGTTTGGATGATGAATAAAAAAAATAAAGGATGCGGTCCCTCCCATGCAAAATGGAGAGAGGAAGAGATGGGTGGGAGTACTTTAATACACCAATTAATAAGATTTAGATGGGCAAAGATAGAATCACCTCATCTCAATATATCATCCAAAGAAAGGATCAATTGAGAATATTAGCGGATTTAATACATGCTTATAAATTTTGTTTTCAGTAATGAATACAATATTTATTTATCAAATATGTTGAATATATATGAATAATTTAAGAGGTCGTAATCTATAATTTTATTGAATTTTTTTAAAGAGATGATAATTTTTTTTAAGAGATCAGTGATTGAATTTAGTATTATATAAGATTATATCTTACACTAATTGAAACTTTTTATTATTATGAAAATAAAAAAAATATGAATAATTATATATCTATGAAAAGTTTAACTTAATTATATGAATATTTGCTTTTGTTTAACAAGGTACAACATATAACTTATTCTTATTGGATTAATCTTCAAGAAATGTTTGGCATGCAAAATATTTTTATAAATTAGAATTTAACCATTTTCTTTTATTTAAGTTAACAATTTTGCTTGTAAAATTTTATAATTAGACATTAAGACTTTTTTATTGATTTTTCATCGGATTTTTTTATTAATTAAAATGTGAATAATTAGTTTGAATTAAAGAATAGTTTTTAAATATTTAGCGAGAACGAATATAAGTATTGGTATTTTTACCAATTAAAATATAGATATTCTCTTAAAATTAATACTAATCTCATGTCACCCTTGGCACTAAGTTAAGGAAGAATGGTACTCTTTTTTTAACACCTCAAAAAGTGCAAGCTTGATTTTACACGAATTAATTCACCAAACATTTCCAATATTTAGGAACATTATAGAAATCCAATTATCCAAGCATACCTACATTTTTCACTTTTCAATTCCCTCTCAGCGTGGGTGTATTTAGTTCACTTCACACTTTTTCGTATTAACGTTCAAGGTTAGTTATTAAAATCTAAAAACTTTTTGTTGGAATGATTAGATTCCAATGACTTGATATTGAATGAATTTACAAGATTTTTGAATAAATTGAACAATGGTGAAATATATGAAAATTTACTTGCCTATAGCATGGATAGTACTCTGTTACTAAGACAGAAGAGAATAAGTGTGCTAGCTTTTGTTCAGGAAGACAACATAGGGAGGGCCCACCAACTCATCCAATAGAATCCTCCTCACTCACTGAAACCCATCTGAAAAAGCCTGTAATACACTTTACTTAGGAATGACTTCAATCTCGGGATTCGTTCCCTACAAAGATTTCCCTATTTCCTGTCCCCATTCTTTTTCTTCTCAAATTTTAAACCATGCAAATCAACTACATAATTCACGCTCATTTCGTATTTTGGTTAATTTCAATGATTTTCTTTTTATTTTTTATAATCAAATAATAACAATCCACTCTAAATTTTCATACACTCTTAATTTTTTATCGCTAGATTCATCCGTGCTCATCATGCATCTTTAGTTTTCCGATACGAAAGAGTATATGTATGCAAAAAAATATTTTTCTTACAATCAAGTTTGTACCAATAAAAAAAAAAGTCCTGTAGCACACCACTTGAGTCAATGAACCCAAAAAATCGGTCAAGAAAAAAGATATTATCTTTAAAATTACAGTTATTTGTAAAAAAAATAATATTTATTATTGTGAATGTTAGAGATTAAACTACAAAACCGACTTATAAGGTGAGGGTTGCTTTTCACTTATGTATTATTTAATTGTTTAATCTCTAGTCGACATGGGACTTAGAAATTTTCCAATATTAAAAAATCAGTGTTAGTAAAGAGTAATTCATAAATGCAAATTTTAAGAGGTTGTATGAAAAATGTCTATATTAAAAATTAAAAAAAAAAAACTCATTCGGCGGCTTGTAGTTTATATACAAAGGACGATCGTTACTTTATGTTGCGTCCATGTTATGTTTACTCTGCATAGAAGGTTAGTTATTTTTTCCCTTTTATTTATTTAAAAATGAGTTATTTTTAGTTTAATTTGTATGCATTAATATTATATAAAAATGTGTTATATTATTTAAGTAATTAATGACATATAAATTATTAAATAATATAACAATGCATAAATAATTGTTAAAACAAAACTTTTTATAGTCATTAAAACTAAACTCAACTTTGTATTCAATTTAAGATAATATGATAAATTTTTCGTGATTGTAGAATTTTTTTAATATTAAGGACGAAATAATTGACGAAATTTCCTTGATTTTTTTTTCTCTTTCTAATTGAACGAAGACTGTTTTGGTTATTTATATATCTTACTGCATTGACCCTGCTTCTGTTCATAGGTAGAGAGAGAGAGAGAAAAGATAGTAGCTAGCAGGCATATATGAATGATGATCATAGCATGGAGGTCATCATCATCTCTATCTGTTCTTCTATTTCTGAGGAAATATATCTCATCTTTCTTCCTAGGTTGATTTTCATGGTTCCCTCATCAAGAGCACAACACTGAGCAAAACCATCTCCCACTTCTTCTCATCAATTTGCATCCACACATCACCACCACTTTGATCCCTAACCTTCTTATTCTACTTATCTTCCTCTAAGGTAAGATCTTCCACTTTTTCAATTGCTTCACTTAGAAACAAGCAATATATATGTACACATACAAATTCTTCTATTTTCTTCCTTTCTTCAGTTTTTAACTCAGTTCTAGAGGAGGGATATATTCTGAGTTGTATTGTGGGATGGATAACCAACCTTGATGATAACACATCCAAGGTCGACACAGATTAACAAGACCTGAAAGCAATACTCGAGGTTAATTATTTTCATGGCTCGAGAATTGTGTGAAGAAAAATCCAAGGACATGGCTTCATCAACGGGGTTCTTCTACTCTGATGTGTCATCAAATAACCCAACGCATCTGATGAACCACATCCAAGGCTTTGTCACCGACCCAGAAATGTTCAATCTCACTACCGGCATGGAGATGATAGGGTTTTCCAAGAATCTTCAGCCACACAGTAGTGAAAGCAACGGTGCCATGTGGAAAAGTTTCTTCGGAAAACCAGGTCAACACGCAGGTCCTTCCTCTTCCAAAACGATGAACGAGTCTTCCAGCAATTATTATAACCATCATGAGTATAATAGTAATAATAATAATAATAAGCAAGATTTCACATCAGGGATTTCCGAGACAAGTAGCGAGAACTTAATCGTGGGTGGTGGCCATGATTCTTCTGCCCCGTGGCAAGAGAACAGGTTAATGGTCGATGATTCTTCTTTAAGGTGCGTATTCCCTTGTGAAGGTAACGAAAGGCCTAGTCAAGGCCTTTCACTCTCTCTTAGTTCAACCAACCCATCAAGCATCGGGTTGCAATCTTTTGAGCTGAGACAAACAAGCCATCAGCAGCATCTTTCTGATTTTGTTTCGAGAGAGGGGATGTTTGGAAAATCAGTGACCGCTCAACAACAACAACAACAAATGTTGCAAGATGGGTATTTGAGTACCAATTCCAAAGCTGTGAATATTTATCAGGGACATTTTCTAATCAAGAACTCCAAGTTCTTGGTTCCTGCTCAGGAGCTTCTGAACGAGTTTTGTAGTCTAGGAACAAAGGAAAATGATGTAGCAAAGATAAAGAACAAGCAGTGGGAAGAGGGTGGTGGTGGTTCCTCAAAGAACCATTCTCTTAGCTCTTTAGAGTTCGTGGAACTGCAGAAGAGAAAAACAAGGCTCCTCTCGTTGCTGGAAGAGGTACATATGCTTCAAATGTTATTGTTTTTGTTTGGCTTCATTTAAGAGATTAATTTGTACTTGGCAAGGAAATATCTCTTGTGTGATTGTTCCGTTCCACATGATGTGGAAAAAGTGAGTAAAAACTAAAAACCATGGCTTTACTTCAAGTGAATTACCCGTCACAATCCATGTTCTTAACTTTTTCGTTGGTGTGGTTGATGGGGTTGGGGTCTTTCCACTTTGATTCTTGAACTAATTAAGCAGCGGGTGCGGGCCTTTTTCATCAATGCCACCTCGTGACAATTGAGCCTTTTCTTTTTATTATCCTAACAACCCAAACCCCATGGTTTTGCCTTTTACCTTTTCTTAGCAACTTTGCTTTCCTTCTGTTCCAAAGGCTTTCATTTAATTCTAATAAGGTGGCCGTAACTTTGAAAGTGAAATTTTTATACATTACTTTTCTTTCACTTTTGTCTACCCTTTTTGTGATCAAGGTTGATAGAAGATACAAGCACTATTGTAACCAAATGAAGGCTGTGGTCTCCTCCTTTGAAGCAGTGGCGGGTAATGGGGCAGGCACAGTTTACTCAGCCTTGGCTTTTAAAGCCATGTCTAG